ACTTAATGACACAGTATCACCTGTATGATAATACCTAAAAAAAAAACCAGTGAGATTGTGAACTATATAAACATTAAAAAAAAAAATTGTAAGCTACATTTTGGCCCTATTCTTTCTGAAATGCTGCTTTACCTAAATCTTAACTGATAATTTTAGTTGGAGTTTCCAGATACCTTTTCTTAACAGTATTTGGTAGATTCTTATGATGCTTAGGACTTTAAAAGACAATAAAAAACATGTATTGAAAAGTACTTATCCTACCTAAATGAATGAATTAAGCTGTTAAATAATGAAAACATATATTTGTGTGTCTAGGCATGGATATATAGATATAAACTCAAGTGCAATTCTGTAACAACCACTAATTCTTTTTCAATGAGATATTAGTGGAGCCATTAGCTAGATGTTGTAACAGAAAATCATGTACTGGTCCTGTTTTAGTAATTTCTAATGATGTGGTTGAAATAAGCATGGGCTTTGGATTCAGACATGGGTTTGAGTCCTTGAACTGCTACTTACTTGCTGAGTGATTTTTGGCAAGGTACTGCTTTATTTCTCAGTTTCTTTACCTGGAAACAGTTTTCAGAATGGCTAAATTTAAAGAGACTGACAACATCAAGTGCTGACAATGATTTGGAGCAATTGGAACTGTAGTACTTTGCTGAAGGAGTACCAAATGGAATAGCCACTTCAGAAAGTTAAACACGTTTATTCCAAGACCCAGCAATTCCACCCCTAGGTATTTTCCCAAGAGAAATAAAAACCTATCCTTACACAAATACTTACATGTGAATGTTTATAGCAGCTTTATTCCTGATTATCAAAACCTGGAAACAACTGAAATGTTCATCAGCTAGTGAGTGGATGAACAAATACTGGTATATCCATATAATAATAAGGAATGGACTGCAGATATATACAAGAAAATGGTTGAATATCATAATATTTATGCTAAGTGAAAAGAGCAAGACATAAAAGCTGCAAACTGTACGATTCCATTTATAGCGATATTCTGGAAAAAGTAAAACTATAGAGACATGAATCAGAAAAGTAGGTGCTGGGGGTCTGGGAGTAGGGAGGGGGTTGACTGCAAAGGAGAATGAGGGAATATTTTGGGGTGATGGAAATGTTTTATGTCTTGTTTGTGTTGGTGGTTACATGACTTTACATTTGTCAAAATTATTAACTTTATGTAAATCATACCTCAGTGAAAAGGAAAGAAAAAAATAACTTGTGTTTCAGGGTGGTTATGGAAATTGTAAAATAACTCTCCTCCCTTATTTTTTCTTCTTTTGGTTCTTCATTATTCTCTGCATCTTCTGTGTCTCTCATAAATTTAAGGTCCATGATGAATTGCAGTTTCTTATTTCCGGGCTTTGATACTACAGAAAAATTTATGTCTTTATCTGTCTTTACCTGCAATCCCTGAGTCAGATTTTAAATCAAGTCATCAACTGTATTCTTATAGTTCTAGATGTTTTCATTAGTACTGAATACCTCAGAGCTGGAATTTACATACTCTGTAAAATATAACATGTATACCTGCTTCATCTTGGTTCCTGATCTGTGTCCAGTGGCAGTGGGAGTGCACAATATGGTTGAAAGGGTGTATAAAACAGTTTTGAATCTTGGCCTGAGAAAGCCTTTCCCTGCTTCTCAGTAAACCATTGTTTTATTCCAGTGGTTCTCAAAGTTGAGCAAGCATCAGAATCACCTGGAGGAGTTGTTAAAACACAAATTGCTGACCCCCCCCCCCCACCAGAGTTACTTATTCCTTAAGTCTGGGGTAGGCCCAAGAATTTTCATGACTATCAAGTTCCCAGATGATGTTGATGCTGCTGGTTTGTGAACCACTGTTGATGCTTACTTCTGGCAATGCGGTGTCAAAATTATTGCCTACAGGCAATTAGCTCAGTTGATTAGAGTGGTGTGTTGTAACACCAGGGTCAAGGGTTCAGATCCCCGTATTGACCAGCTGCCAAAAAAAAAAAAAAAAAAAAAAAATGTGCCCACATATAGGAGCCAACATTTTGTTTTTAAGCTGCTTCATCATCTCATGGCCATTTTTGTATTGGCTAATATATATTTAGAGAGAGAATAGTAAGCGTTTGGCTAAAGTCCACAATGTGTTTGATGCCTAAAAGATAGAGAAGTGGTGCTGGCAAGAGAAAAAGGAAAAAAAGATATATATAGCCACATCTCCTTCTTTTTAACCTCCTGAGTGTCATTATGCTACATCATAATTATCTTATCCCCCTAGCAACAGGCTCCTTTTGGACTCCCATTCTCTCTATTTTAGAAGTTCCGAAGACTCTGACTAGGCCTCCTCTGCCCATCAGCCTAAAGTATTCTCAGTTAAGACTTTTCACTGCCTAGTTTGTAATGAATAGGCTCTGTCTCCTCACACTTAGGTTTTATGATTGTATCCTATTTTTTTTTCAAGAACAATAGTAATTTTCACTACATGAAACCAAAATACCATAAACTGCACAATTTTAAAACAGTCTGGGATGTGTGGGTGACTGATGTCAAGTGAATGAATATAAATCATGCTTCTGTGTCAGGTACATCCCTAGACCAAGAAAGAAATAACTCTAATAATTTTAATAGGCTATGTATAAAGAGAATATGAGTAAAATTTGAAATTTTAAAAGCAATGTGTAAGTGTTAAATTTAAGGAAATCACAGATTATTTCATTTTTCCAAATGCCAAAGCAGATATTGAGGGCTATATATATAAATTTGTTCAGAATTTCTATTATGTTAAGGTTGCTGTAGGGTATAATGCACCATAATGATATCTGCTGATTTCTCTCTGTGATAGATTAAATACAGTATATTATACTTACTGCTGATGTCCTTTATCCCTCTACCACCACCCCACTGATTATTGAGAGTCTTTAGAGAAAACAGCTCATTGCACTGGATGATTACATGCCTCAATTGACTAGTAGCTTGTTGCCAATTATCATTACAATACCATATTGATTTTTTCTTATTTCCATTATGGAAACTGAAGCAGAATTTGTTTAAAATGAGCTTCCATATATATTATGGATGTGATTGGTTCTGAATATGAGCTATTCTTTAAAAATATATATATTTTCTTCAGTGATCTGATGTCTCCTACTGATATTCTTTTAGAAATTTAGGTCTCTGCTTTGTTGATAAACTTTACCTTAGGTAGATGTGAAATAGATAGTTTAAAGACCAGAATGGAAATATAAATATTGTTCAAATATGTAGAGCATAGATTTTAATTATTGCTTCACAGAAGTCTGCTATATATTGATTTATGTTTATGAGGTTCTTGAGAAGTATGAGACTGCTTATTATCTTAACTACACAAGCCTATAAATTTAATTTAAATCAGCAAATATTTATTTAGTGTTGACTATATATAATATAAATATTTGGTGACTATATATATAAGCCAATCTGCTAAGCAGTATGGGAGATAGAAAGATGAATGAGATAATATAACTGTCTTTAGAGATTTTATAATCCAGACGGGTGGGTAAGACAGGTGTGCCAAGGATCATAATGTCAGGTGGTAAGACATAAAGATTACATGGGGGGTTCAAAAGAAAAAACTCATATACAGTTGGAGGACTTACAAGGGAAAAATGCTAATGGCTCAAAACAGCCAATTGGAGCCTTGAAGGGTTTGGAGAGATGGAGTTTTCTTCTAGGAAGGGAGAATGAATTGAGCTAACACAGGGAGGGCTCCAGGAATGATAATTTGTCTGATTTTATTGGCACATGTGATATAAGGCCTGGGGCTGGAAAAGTAGATTGAGGCTAGATCAGAATGTTCTGCCGAAGAATTTCAAATGTGTTACGTAGTCCAGGGGAAATTTTTGGACAGAAGACTGCAGTTAAGTGCAATTTAATCTGCCATTTTGTAAAATGAATAAAAGAAAAGAATGAAGCTGCCGAGACCCCCGGTGAGAGGCTCCAGACATATCAAAGGAAAGGCAGCTAGGGCTAAACTAGAATGTTAACATAGACACTGAAAAGGAGGGAGGGGGCACTTGGGAGAGTCATGACTGGAGACTGGAAATCCAAACCAAGCTTGACATGATCAGTCCTCTAGTCTTCCACCACACATGGGACTTTACTTCCAGCCACTCTCTCAAGCCTGCTTACTCAGTTCCTTGCCACTGTGGACTCCTCACAGTTCCTGGGACATTCCATACATACTAGCTAATACCTCAGGACCCAATTTGCCCTTAATTCTACTTGGAAAGTTGTCATTTCCTTAAGGGCTCTGCTCAAATACTACCTTATCAAAGAAACTTTCTCTGACAATATACTGAAAAATAGCATTGACACTCCTTTTATTTCATTTACCATGGTTTATTTTTCTTCATTGCATCAAAACATTGACATTTATCACATAGTTAGTATTTGTTTATCATCTGTTCTCCTCTTTCTAGGTGGTAAGCTCCATTAGGGTAAGGGCTTAGTTTTGTTGTCTGTTATATCTCTAAAACCTAGAACAGGCTTGGTACTTAGTAGGCATTCAGCAAATACTTGTATTAGTTGAATGAATGAACAGTATAAATGCAAAGGTGAAAAAGATGAGGGATCAAAAATTATGGCCGTATTTCAAGTGTGAAAGGTTCAAAGGGTAGTTGATGTTATTGACAGAATATTGAAGCATGAAGGAGGAGTTGATTTAGGAGAGTGAAGACAGAGGGAGATAAATTCAGTTTATAAATTCAGGCTAAAGTATATGATGCTGGAGAAGCAACCAAGGCACTGCTGTGTAATGTGCAATGTAAAATGTGAAGGGAGGTCTGCGATTGAGGTAACGATCTTTGAGTCATCCTCATAGAGTCAATACTTGAAGGAATGGGAATAGAAAAAAGAATGACAACTGATATTAACACAAAAATGATCAGATGTGAAAATCTAAATTTAATTTTGGATATTTAATGTTTTAAATGTATAAACTTATTTATACCTTTTTTTTTTTTTTTTTTTTAATTTCTTAGCTGGGTTAATAACTTTGGCCATGAAGGTCTTGGACTCTTATTGGATGTGCTGGAAAAGCTTCTGGACAAAAAACAGTAAGAATAAATATTAAAAAATTTCACCACAGGGGAAATTTTTAAGTGCAACCTAATTTTTTTTTTCTTTTGCTTAGGCAAGAAAATATAGACAAGAAGAATCAGTATAAACTTATTCAGTGCCTCAAAGCATTTATGAATAATAAGGTAAGAAGTATTTATTTCTGCCTCTGTCACAAAAGGTGAGGACTTGCCCAGCAGTAAGAAACTGACAAAATAGTTGTTGCTTATTCAGTTTACAAAAGGGTCTTTATGATGCAAATCATCATGTTTCATTTAAATATTATTTAAAATATACTTTGCTTCACAAAATATTTATTGGTAGGTTTTTGCGGTCATCTAAACATATTATTCTTGTTCCCAAATTAGGTAATACTTTTTTTTTTCTTTTATGGTAGTAGCAAAATTTAAATGTCATATGTTAAATACCATTTCCAGAGAGTTTTTATTCTATTGAAAAGGGAAATTTAAGGGTATGGTTTGATTTGTTTGCTAAGAACATTGTAAGGTTACGATTTCTCTTTCTTTTATGTTCAGTTAATATCAGTAAGTTAACATACATAAAATACATCTCTGGAAGATAGCAGGGGTTTTTTTGTATATGTATAATACCAGTTGCATTATGAGGGATCCTATGAATTTTAGACAGTGGTTTTTCTTCTAAAAATAGTCTGGTTCAGGTTATGAAGTTATAGTGATTTTTTATGAACTATTTTTGTTACTATTTTAGAAATTATTGCTCTATATGCCTATAGGAAAAATACCATTGACTAATTAACTTAATTACATGATTCCCTTTAGGTCATATTTTAATAATCTCAAAATACTTAATAGAAATAAATAATTATAACAATAACCAGAAATTGTCAAATGTTAAATATAGCTATTAATAACCAGTGCAATAAGATTGTTTATTTAAGTAATCTGCAGTCTTTCTTAAGCATATAGAATTATATATATGTATGTATATATAGTATACATACATGTATCAGCAAAGAATATTATGGGCAAGTGCAATGGATGCATGCTAGTGGACATGAAACTCCCGCAGAGAATATACTAACTGTGGTGTTTCTGGAAGTTTCTTACAGAAAGACATCCATCGGTACTAGTACAGAATATCTCAATTTCTGTGCTCTTAGTATTTGGCTACAAAGTTATTCAGAATCAGATGCCTAATAAGAAAGCACTTAATGAACATTGCTTCCCTACAGCTCCAGATAAATCGTTCTTCAACTGAGGGAAACAGTGACATAATGGAAGGGGAGAACACAGTACTAGAAATCAGGAGATATAGCTCATGCTTTGCCGCTAACTTGAGTGGCTTTCAGAAAATCACTTGACTTCTCTGGCTATTAGTTCCCTCATCTGTAAATTTAGCTATAGGACCCTGTGTCCTTAATTCTTATCAACTCATGTTGTCAACTGTCACAGCTTTCCAGAATACCATGTACAGTAGTTCCCACTTATCTGCGCTTTCACTTTCCATGGTTTGTTACCTGCAGTCAACTGTGGTCCAAAAATATCAAATGGAAAATTCCAGAAAAAAACAATTTATAAGTTTTAAATTGTGCACCATTCTGAGTAGCATGATAAAATCTCGCACTGTCCTGTCCAGGACGTAAATCCTCCCTTTGTCCAGTGGATCCCCACTGTAGACGCTGCATGTCCACGAGTCACTTTGTAGCCATCTGGGTTATCAGATCAAGTGTCAGGTATCACATTGTGTGTTCCAATCACCCTGATTTTACTTCATAAGGGCCCCAGAGCCCAAGAGTAGTGATGCCGGCAATTCAGATATGCCAAAGAGAAGTTGTAATGTGCTTTCTTTAAGTGAAAAAATGAGAGTTCTCGACTTAATAAGGAAAGAAAAAAAAGTTACATGCTGAGGTTGCTAATATCTATGGTAGGAACGAATCTTCTATCCGTGAAATTGTGGAGAAGGAAAAAGAAATTCATGCATATCATATATAGTGTTCATTACTTTCTGTGGTTTCAGGGATCCACTAGGGATCTTTGAATGTATCCCCCATGGATAAGGGGGGACTACTATAATTGTATTCAGGATAGTCACTACAGAAAGTCGTATTAGTGAGAATTCCTATATAGAGACTTTTCCCACAGGATGTACTTTGATAGTTTCTTGTTACTTAAGAATTTGGCAGTTTTGGAGAATGTGAAGATTTGACTTAGATTATTCTAAACTAAGGGTTAAGTTGTAGTTAGGCCATCTTAATATCTTGCACATAGGTGCTCAGAACATGAAAAAACAGATCTTTTAAATTATAGGCATGTGAAACAATAGGTATAAAATATGCATTCTAAATAGAAAATATACTGTGGTATATCCATTTTACATTGGAATAAATTGAATCAAGGAATGAAACTTTCACCTGAAATGACATAAACATGAAATTTTTGGCCCTGTGGAGTTTAGATTACCTACATCAAAAACTCTTTTCCCTTATCCAATTCATGTATTAAGAGGATCATAAAACAGCAACCCATTGTCCCTAACTTCCATTGCTGTAATATTGCTCTGATGTTTGGATTGATGGTTTTCTAGATATATTTCTCATAGCTTCATTTTTATTTTCAGTATGTTCTTATATATTAGAAAGTATGTTTCAACAATAAATGAAATTTTGAAAATTTAAATTATTTCATTCTCAGTCTAATTGATTTTTAAAGTTGTTATTTTAAGGTTGATAATTGCATGGTAATCATCCATCTTTCAGTTTTACGCATGTGTTTTTCACTTATATTTCTTACTTTTTAATTGTCTACTGGCTACCTTTATGCATACTTATCCCTTTTGTTTTCTTTGCTTTTTTCCCAATCTTGTCTCTCCCATTTATTTTTCCTTTTGTCTTTTGTCTTGCCTTGTCTCTATATATTTCCTTATTTATTATGACCTGTGGTAAAGTCACATTTAAGAGCTTTAGCTATATCCCATCCTGCCCCCCCCCCAAGTTCCTTTAGAAGTTTAATTAGGCCCATGGAGCTATTCATGTTTGGGACTTAATTTAGCTTGAAATGGCGATTTTGCTTTGATGAAATATTGTCAGATTTCACCATTAGACTGTAAAGTGAAAAACATATTTCATAAGAAATCTGAAAAATAATTTATGGGACAAAGATTAAAGAAATTATTACCTTCTTAATGTAACAAAAACCCATTTTAGACTTTCTTGAGCCTTTTTCTACATATTTGTTAGAATTTGCGCATGCACACACAGGCACAATGTATTCATACCTAGAAAATAAATGAAAATGATGTCTTCTCTGCCCAGGTGACATTTCTTTGGGTTCATAGCTTTTGTAGTGTAGCACAACTGTCTAAAAAGGGGAAGATAAGAGAGAGAAGGTATGGGAAAATACATACTGAGGTTTGTTGCTTCTTAATCTGGCATATAGTATGCAAAAGCACATTTTAACATTTTACCTTTTTTTGTTCACCTTTCTTTTCCATACAAACATATTGGACAATTTAACCATAAATTTCAGACATCTCCTGGGAGACCCAATGACATAAGTAGAATTACTGTAGAAAATCCTATTAGTATGTGCTTTATACGTTCTTCTTTGTTGAAGAAATATTGATTGTTCCCATATTTCTCCCAAATCCTTATGGAAATTTTAGAGCAGGCTAATGGAGATCATATCTGATCAAGGGGCGAAAACTCCCAGATGCAGTCATTTCAAATAAAAAACAAAGATAAATAACTGCATTTGAAGAACATTCATATAATTTGGTAGAACTTCATTTTTGGAGGTGTGGGTGTTTGGAAAATTATTGTAAGTTGTTTTTTTAACGAAAGATATGTTCATATGTTCCATACACATTTTGAATGAACGTTCCTTGTTTTCTCTAGTTTGGATTGCAAAGGATTCTAGGAGATGAAAGAAGTCTTTTACTATTGGCAAGGGCGATTGACCCCAAACAACCCAACATGATGACTGAAATAGTAAAGATACTTTCTGCCATTTGCATTGTTGGAGAAGAGAACATGTAAGTATTGCTATTTTTACTGCATAGAAAATGAGCTCAAGAAATTAATAAGTCCTACTTTTGTTCTGTTTCTGTAGATAACTTTCATGAAAACAGTATTAGATTTTGGAGAATTTTTGACTGGCATTTTTTAACTTGTCTATTTATATTTTAGCATCTTTGTTGATATTTGGAAAACTGGGTTTAAAATTAGATTCCTAATGTGGGAAATTCTTCGAAGTTGGATTCAAAGTGAATAAATAGAACTTTGTCCTGATGAAGGTAATCACTAGAAAAGTGACTGAAATTTTGAGACATCCACCCACCCTCCCACGCTGCATATCATGCAGTTTGACTTCTTTAAGTAATTGAATTGACTAGCTAACTTTTTCTTGTACTTTTATTTTATAATAGTATTTTACTTTATCTGCCTATGGTAAATAAAAAGATGAAGTAATTATTTGTAGAATAGAAATAAACTAACCTGTTAAAAAGAAAGAAAAGTTGTTGATAATTATCCAGAGTGTATATACGTGCCAAATTCAGCAAGTTGTCAAATAGGGATTAGATTATATCTTCTTATGGAAATAATATTGAATCAGAAACAAAATTTCTGATTTTATGTCATTAATAAGTTCAGTTTGTAAGGAACCATTGTGATAAAAAATGAAATATCTATTAAGGACATAAACTATTTCTTCTGAACACTGTGTGACAGTAATAATTTTAATATGAATCAGAACTGGGCTATGCAAAGATTTAAGGATGTTCTAATCTGTTAACTTTCTCATAACTGTTAGAATAAAAAAAGATGTTGCTTAGTGCTAGCTACTGTTTTTAGAAACCAAAAGGTGAACACTGAGCAAAAATATTATCATAAAGCATTAAATCTTTGCTCAATGAAAACAAACTGAGAATGAGATAGCATATGTAAAAGTAAGGTTTCCTTAGGTCTTATAAAAATAAGAAATATGAAATATTTTTTAGTCAATTAGATTTTCAATACTTAATTCATAAAATACAACCTAGCCTGGTATAATTGTTATAATTATAATTTCAGATATCATTTGATAAGAGCAGTATACTACATAGAGGTTAATTTGATTTAGACATTGTGTGGAGATAGATGCCACTTTTTTTTTTTTTTTTTTCATCAATATTGCTAGTTCCCACTAAACTACTTCTCACTTGGCTTAATTTCCCTCCCCACAGTACTTGTGATATACTGGTAGCATAGACATTGTGTGGAGATAGATGCCCCTTTTTTTTTTTTTTTTTTCAGGTAAATAAGTTTCTAGAGCAAGATAATTATAGATGCTTCTTTAATGACCTGGGCCTTCTCCTTTAGGTTTTTTTTCTTGTTCCATTATCAAAGGATGTTGATTTTTAAGTTCTTTTAAAAGTATTCACTCTTTCCAGCACTTTATTATAAAATTACAGTCTGTTTGCACATGAATGAACTGTTAAGAATTGAAGATGCCATATTATGTTTAAGTGATATTAATATCTATGCTAACACATGAGATACCAAACCTGAAAATTTAAATTTCAGTGGTTATCAATTAAGTATTCTTTGTAAAATGTCACCCAGAAAAATTATTTTCCTAAAGATTTTTTTAATTAAATTTTTATTTTGATGCACTAAAATTATTTAAAACTATCAATATGTGGATAAGAACACAGTTCTTATATTGTAATGGTCAGTTAGACTGGAGGAATAACTTCAAGAGATCTATTGTACGTCATGGTGACTACAGTTAAAACAGTACATTGTATCCTTCAAAATTGCTTAAGGGAGCCACTCCACAATGTATACATATTTCATAACATTACATTGTACACTATAAATGTATACAATTTATATTTGCCAATTATAAAAATAAATTTAAAAATTGTAATGGTCTATGTAAACATCAAACAGCAGAAAGAAAATAAAGAAGACTGAAAGGAATAACTTATGCTCACAGTGTATGAGTAAGAAGTATTTCTCATTTCTGTTTTTTTTTCCCTCTACAGTCTAGACAAACTTTTAGGGGCTATAACTACGGCAGCAGAAAGAAATAATAAGGAACGCTTTTCACCAATTGTGGAAGGATTACAAAATCATGAAGCCTTGCAATTACAGGTGAGTTAGTTTTGTCTTAAATTGCTTCTAGAGTTATATTTAGAGTACTCATTTTGTATGACACCAACCCCATTTTAGCTGGCATTTAAGTAGAATGAAATGTAAAAATAAAATTCCTGTTGCTAGAAGTTTTGTTTGTGAGAATAACAATTTTTTTAAAAAATTAAGGAAGAATATTTCTGAGTTATTATAAATATGGCAGTTATAATTATCATTGATCTTTGGGTAGAAATTTAGTAATTAATGTAATAAACCAGGGAAATTGAAGCTTTAGCAATAATTGGGGCAAGAGAGCATGGAGTTTAGCCAATGCCATTATCTTAACAAGTGTTAATGAAGTCTGTGGGCTTGTTGCAGAGATTTCAGAAAATTAAACACATCTGTCTTTGTGCCATTCACACAACATTCAAAGGTCTGGCTCACCAGAATAGAGGATATTGAATTGCAATTCTTAGGTCAGGGGACATCTGATAGCCCTGTGTAGACCCAGCCTAAGTGTGTTTTTTAGAAAATGATAAAACTCGCAATCTTTTCTTAGAAGGTTTCAGGAAATGACTTGTTTTATGAAAGATAACATTGTTCTTGAGGGATGAGAACTCATATTTATTGTCTATATTTATGGCACGAGGTCCTGGACTAAACATTTTAATTTGCATGTATTATTTTATTTCATTTTCACAATAACCCAGCTATATAAGTATTAACATCATCTCCATTTTGCTACAAATCAATAGGCTGATTGATATTAAATAATTTGTCTAAGGTGACACAGCTTGTAAGTAGCAGAGTCAGAATTTGATCCCACGGTTTTTTGGTCTCTCATGCTAATAATCTCTTTCTTTTAGACAGCATATACCATTTAATGCATTATGGAAAATTCTCTGAAATATTTTTTAAGCTCTCATGTTGTTCAGCAAAGAGAAGATGGTTCCACATTTAATTTTATCAAATTATTTAGTTGCGAGTGTTGAAATATTAAACTTTCTTGTTTCATATGTAACAAACACAATTGATTTTCTTTATTTTGTTATGACGTATCGGCATCTTTTTTTGCCAGACTTTGAAACTATATCAGATAGATGAATTGGCTTGTCTAAAGAGTTTGTAGTGTTACAAAATTATAATACCTCTCCAAATATTTAAGGATCTTTGTTAATCATTATTTCTCCTATTTCAACTATAATGAGCATTTGGATAAACTTTTATGGTGTGTCATTTTTGTCAAATGTATTACATTTTAAAAAAATTGGGATATTTCTTTCCATTGTTTTCCTTTTGTAATACATTTCTTATTATAAAATTTAATCTCAATAAAATTTTACACCTCTACTTCAAGGTTGAAAACTGTCTTTTTTTTAGATGACTTCTTGAAAGTTTTGTACTTGTTCCTGTGGTTGGGATTGCCCAACTAAATTTCATTGATTTTCAGACATATGTATGAGTTTGTACTTCTCTTGCAATGTTTGTTTAGGAGGAATTAAGTATTTTACTTATATTCAAAGTTTTCATTACATTTTATACTTAGTTTGCCATACGTGGGCCAAGTGTGTTTATATATTTTTAAATCTGCTATAAATGAATTTTCAACCACAATACTGTGAGTTATTTATTATCTCCAGTTTACTGATCAGGGAATTGAGTTGCTGGGAGGCTAAGTAACCCACTCAAAATCATACAGCTGTTAAGGGGTAGAGCTGTGATTTTAACCCAGGTTTTTGTGATGCCAACATTTGTACACTGCGTTACCTGCCCTTTAAAATGACACCTCCACCGAAGAGTTTTGTTCACTCCGGACAATGAGATGGGATTGACATTTGCTAGCCTTCAGAAGCTGGGATGGGATGCAGTGATAAAGTGGTAAGTTGTTAACAAGTAACATATGGAAGAATCATAGACAGCTCACAAAGTATTCAAGAAAATGTTGAATACTGATTATAGATGCAAACATATGCAAACCACAATTTGAAATTTTCTATTTTAATGAGCTGGAAAAATTAGTAATTTGTTATATACAGAGCCTAGTACTCACAAGAATTGTGAAGTGGGTTTGTTTATTTGGACTATTTAATGTGAATAAAAAATATCCTCCAAAAGTTCAAAAATATATTCAGAATATAGAAATGAAAAACAAAAGTCTAAATCTGTTGTTTAAAAAATATAATTAGTGCTGTATTTTAACAGAATTACTTTTCTATTTCTGTAGTATCCTGAGACTTCTCAAAATGTTATTACAGTCTTAGGAAGTAATTCTGTTAAAATACAGGACTAATTATATTTTTAAATAACAACTATATACCTTTTTAAAAAAAAAATTAAAACAGGTTATTAACTTCTCACAGATTTTTTTTCTAGCTCATCTTTAAAGTGAAATTTTGTATCTATGACGGGATTTTCTTTATTTTCAGTAGTTCACGAAGTAGATCAATCATACATCTTCATGTGCTCTCTCTTCATTGACTTCCCTTCAGCTGAGTTGCATTCTCCAGTCTCCTACATACTACAGCACCTTCCTTTGATCTCACCTACCCTTCTAAATAGGCTCTCATTTCTCTTTTTCATTTTACAGTCTACATCTATAAAAGAATAATCTATACTTGTTTTCACTGTTTTCTAAATTACCTTTCACAACTCAGCTTTCTCACAGTTCTCAACAAGGTCTACAATAATCCTCTAATTTCAAAATCCAATGGCCCCTCTCCGATCCTGATCACTTAGCACTATTGATCGCCTACCTCCTTGAAAAGTTTTACTTTCCTTGGCTTTCCAGACACCACCCTTACTCTCTGACTGCCTCTGTTTTCTCTCTCTTTTTAAAGTGTTTCTTCTCTTCTTACTTTTCAGGTATTTTGTTTCCTATGTTCTATCCTTGGTCCTCTTCATTCTATGTCAATACATGTATAAACGTACGAGGATACTTCAAAAATTTTGTTGAAAAATAGAATTGAAAGATAATGTGAATCTTTCCGTGAACTTTTGAAGACCCCTCATATATACATATAGATGTATGTACACTCACAGATATATACATATTCATTTTCTCGTTGAATGTTCTCAATTGCTTCTCTAGCTTTAACATCCAACTGTGTTCTAGTGATTCTCCAGGTTCATAAGTTTAGCTCATACCTTTCTGTCCATTTAAGCTTACATGCCAAAATGCCTAACTAGATATCTTATTGGCATCATAAAAATAAGGAATTAAAAATAGCATTTGTAAGCCATGAGCTAGACAGTGTTCTAAGTACTTTATGTATGTTACCTCATTTAAACCTCATAGCAGTTCTGTGAGAGATAGTACTAGTATCCCCATTTTATGGATAACTAAACTGAGGCTCATATGTGGTTAAAAAAACTTTCCTAGGGTTATAGTGTGAATAGGAGGCAAAGCCCAGATTAGGCACCAGGGAGTCTGGCTCCAGAACACATGCTTTAACTACTACACTGTATCTCCTCTTATATTAAAACTGAGCTGGTTATCTCTTCCTCTTAACTTGATTCCCCCCAAAGAAGTCTAATCTTCTTTTGTTTCTAATTTTAGATTATAGAGGTATCATCTTCTACCCAATCTTTAATTTTCTTCAAGACTTTATTCTTCTTTGTCCCCTGAATCCAATCAATCATCTAGTTTTATTGTATAGTATTGACTGTAAATCTAACCCATTCTCTCTACCCCCATTGTCGTTTTCTTCTCCCATCAATATTGTTCCAGCAGTTTCCTAATTAGTATTCCATACTGATAGTTCTTCCCCTCCAGATAAATGCTCTACACTGTTGTCAGTTATCCTTAAAAAACAGATGTAATTCTAACATGTTAGCATTCTTAAAACCTATGCTCATGACCCATTGGTAACCTGATAAAGGTGAAAAGCCCAATCATGACATATGAACTATTTTAATGTTACCCCAATTTAACATTCTGGCCTTTGAGCCTGTCATTTTTCCAAATGTACCATATGTCTTAGCCATATTGAACCTGGTGTTTTCCAAATATGCTGTAGGCTTTGAAATGCCCTCAAATATTTTACCATGCAGAACACGTCACCGGAAGTACCTACACTTGCCCACCTATATTCCTTTCTTCCTGGTAAGGTTTAATGAGAGCACAAGGGAAGGCAAATTTAGATATGTCCTGCACAAATCTGGGAAGGCTTCAGTGAGGAGGTCATATGTTAACTGGGCCTTGAAGGATAAGTAACAATTTTCCAGAAATTTTCCTTGCTGATAGAAAAGGAGCATTATGGCAGGATGGAAGGCAATCAGGGCTTCCACTAGGTCAAAATAGAGGCCAGAATAGTTTGCCAGTCACTTCACAAAACAAGACAGAGTGAGGTAATACCAACATCTAGTTGAAACTGATTTCTACGTAGCCAGGCAAGAAAAGCCAGGGTACACTGACCATTAATAATTGTTAATATCCAGTGATGTAGTATCAAAACAGCCCCAGTCTTAACTGGCTGCTATTAGTCTGAAAAGTGCCATGTCCTTCAGCATTTCAGGAGCTATGTGGAGAATTGTGTTAGCATGATTTAATACATTTTAAAACTTTTCTAATGTACTGAAAATAATAAAGAGATTTGTGCATGTTGTAAATAGATATGGTACACAAAAACAGAATAGTAAATATGCCTTTTCCTGATGTGCAATAGCTTCACTTATCCAGACTTCACGTGTTTAATAGATTTTTCTTTTTGGAATATAACTGAGAACCAAAAAAGAAATAAAATGAACATAAAACAATCTGAGCAGCCTACAGAATTTCACCCAGTCCGTCAAGTAAGCCTCATGGCAAGAAAGACCTATTGGACTTTAATCAGAGCCTATTTATTCTCTTATGTAATCTTAAATGAGCCCAATTATCTGTTTTCCATCCACAGCAGACTAGAAGCATAGGTTGTAATATTGGGAGAAGATTTATTCCAACTGGTGTACTGAGATCATCAAGAAGTAACAACTGAAAGACTAGTAGCGAGGGAGAAGTAGATAGAAATGTAATGAAAGACTGA